ATGTGTAGGACCCATGGATCTTGAAAGGTGTGTTGTGGTGGTTTTGGTCACTGTAACAGTGGAGATGTGTCTGCAGGTTTTACATCTATTGTTCTGGCAGGGTCTGGTGCTGGCTTTGAGTTTTTGTGCCTTGGTCTGTGGGGAGCTTGCTTCTGATAAAGAGCTTGGAGAGGTTGGGGATTGTTTGAAGGCCAGACGTGGGGAATTCAGGAAAGATTTCTTTCAAGATGGGGTCCCCATCAAGTATACGTCGTAGTTGTTTGATATCCTATATGGGTTCTAGTGTGGTGTGGTAGGTGACAGCTAGGGGCTTTTATTTCTGTATTGAAGCAGGTTCTCTCAGAGTATTTGGATTGCCCATTCCATGATACAAGCCACTTCTCTGGTGGAGTGTCCTTGTTTGGTCAACACGGATTTGAGTGTGTTAAAGTGTATATCCCAGCCTTTCTCCTTGGAGTGAATTCTGTGGTATCTGAGTGCCTGGCTGTAGACAACAGATTTCTTGGTGTGTTTGAGGTGGTTACTGGATATATGAAGATAAGTGTGGTGATCCATGGGTTTCTTGTATATTGTTGTCCGTATGGTTCCATTGTTGAAGCTGATTGTCGTGTCCAGGAAGTTGATGCTAGCGTGGGAGTGTTCCAGAGAGAGTTTAACGGACGGTTGGTGCTTGTTGAAGTTGTGGTGGAAACCTATGAGGCAGTTTAAGTCCTCTATCCAGAGGATGAAAATACAATCAGTGGTTTTGTAGGAAAGTGACTAAGTGGTTGTCAGCAATTCATATTTCCCTGCCTCCCCTACTCCAAAAAGCTGGTGCTGAAAACAGTAACTTTCACTAAACGCTAGTATAGCAGTTCCCAAACTTTTTGTTGACACAACCCCATTTTAATTATTTCCTCCCATGACACCAGACAGCACAGAGGATGCCATTTGGAAGAGCAGTGTGATCTCGTACATATGGTGTGTGTGAGGTCATGCCACTGAGGGGGCCTACCAGATTGGGACCCGCATGTGACTTAGCCATTTTGCTCTACAACGTGGTGGTGTCCTCTCAGCATGACCTTTACCTACAGTGCATGTGAGATCACGCTGTGTGGAGGTTGCCATTTTTAAGTGATATACTCCATGCATTGTGAGCTCATATACACAGTACATGCAAGTGTAACCCACGCATCTTCTGGGTGTGGTGTTCTGTCCCAGCTAGTGGTACTGAGACCACTTAGAGAGAAGAATGAGTCTGCCCTACAGCCTTTAGCTAACAGCCAGTTGGCTTTCAGCTCATGCAGTAGAGGCTCATGCACTAAGCCTCAGAGGTCCCAGGTTCAAACCCGCCCGCCGATGACTAGGGTCTATCAGCGTTACACAAGGTCACGCTGTTCCAGGCAAACTGGCATCCTCCACACATGAGGGATGGCCATGACCCCATCTGCTGAGGTCATGACCCCATTTGGAATGGCGCCCCACAGTTTGGGAACTGCTATACTAGTGTAAATAGGACAACACCATTGCCAGCACTGTTACAGAAAGTGCAACTGAGGCTAGGCCAATACCATTAATAAATGAAAAACTATACAGGGCCTTAGTCCTGGAAGTCGATAACTGTTAGTGTCATAAAATTCTTTCCCTTTACCCTGCAGTGTGGTCTGCCCCAGTGTGCATTGATCACAGTTTGGCTGCAGTGGAGGCTCTGGCCCAATGGATGCAGGACTGGACCTAAGCCACCTGAGTAAATATAATATGATCTGGAGCCCAGCTGTTTGGGGAATTCTAGTTAACTAACAAACTGTTCCTTGCAGTGTGCCAACAGCACTGTTATCATCGCTGTGCTTATGAGAGGAAATACCAATGGGCAGTAGGTTCTATATCAGCTTGTTCTTCATAAGTCACTATAGTGGGGGAAAATCAATATTTTCTGCTTCTCGTTTTCTGTATGGCAACTTCTTCCAAATGGGAATTGTTTTGCCTCATTCCTAAGCAACAATCAGTGCAGCCAAATTGTACAGTGATGGGACTTGTATAGATGCCTGCAATAAACAATTATAGCCCTGATTCAGGAAGATACTTAAGCACCTGACTTAGTCCCACTGAGATCAAAAATACTACCCTTGTGCTTAAACTTAGGCACATGCATAAGTACTTTCCTTAATCAGAATGGGCAGCACTCCAAAAACAGAATGGGTATTTTAAGACTCTCTCAGTTACGAATCAAAAATAAACAAGTCATAAGAAAATACTTGTCCTTTCAACGTTATGTAATTTTCCTTTAGTCTTCAAATGTTATTGTAACAATTACATACCAAACACAAATCTGATGGTTGCATTTGTACATGTGTGGCAATGTTATATCTAGAAATGGAAATTTGGGTGGGCCCCTACTTATAGTGGACAAGCAGTGAATAAAGGTCTGAAATCAGAGCAAATCATTTATATTAGACCTTAAGTTTCTTCAGTTTGTACATGTAAAATAAAGTTGGTATATGGAAACAATTGGGACTTCTAACAGATTTGCACCACATGGCCACAACCTTTCAGTGAAATGCTGCTTGCACATAATTTGTTGTTTAAGAGGGAAGATCCCACCCAAATATTGCATCACAGTAATTTTGTCTTTGATTGGCCAAAGTCTACTACATATTTTAAAAATAGCATATTTGTTCAATATCTGAGCTGCTGCCTTCAGGGTGCATGGTTAAAATAAATACATCTTTTAAAAGCATGTTAATAAATTTACTTAAGTTTGGCATTTCCACAGGCTCAGATTTGGGTGGCTCTGGGTGCTAATTGGGTGGGCCATAGTTCATCCATAGCTACACCCATGATATGGGGTGAGATCCTAACCCCTACTCCAGCTCCTTTACACCAGATAAAATTGAAGGAGTAGCATAAAAGGGCCCTGAATGCTAGTAATCCATGTAGGGGAGGATTCTCCCAACATAGGCACTGCAGAGACAATTGTAAGGCTGTTCTCTGAGAACCCCCGTATAAATCCAAGCTTAAGGGGTGTGGGGGGAATGGAAGTGGTGGTGTATCAGCAGTGGGGCCACACTCTGCCAACTCTGACTGAAGCTATTATGGGACAATTTTTTTCCCAACATGATTTAATGTCTTTAATTGTGCTGTTTAACCCATTCACAATATCAAGCTAGCTACAGAACAACAACAAGGGAATAGCTTGAAACTTTAAACCTTCATACTTAAATAATTAATTATAATTAAATTTTATGTTTTTACCTTAAAGCTGCCAGCACGGAATGCATTCTGCTGCAACCATGTCAATTTTGTGAAGCCAGTTTTTGAATGCATGTTCTTTGCACCATTGGTCATTAAAACAGCAAAAATACTTTTTCTTTTTCACTGGGCCACTGTTCGACTGTCCCCTCACCACCGTCATTTATGTTTTGGGTTTTTGTTTTGAACTGGTAGCTAAATAGCTAATGTAATTTTTCTAGTGCTCACTGGGGAAATGCAGTGAAAAAACAGGCAACTTTTAAGAGTGTACATGTGTGTCAGTTATGGTAGTACTACCGGTTTACATTACGTATTATGTCATTACGCTGCCAAGGGAAGGAAAAACACAGTGAGATGACACCGTTATGTTTTAACAATGAATGAACTTCTGTCTGAATTATGTGCATTCATTATATCAATTTATTTTCTTAAAATATCCTATTAAAATCTCCAAGATTGCTCTCAGTAGTCACCTGGAGATTGATGCCAATTCCGGGAAACTCCCAGCCAATCAGGGAGGGTTGGCAACCCTTGACCAAAGCATTGCAGAGATTCTGGGCAGCACGGGCACCTGCCCCTAGGCCACTCCAAAGAGTCAGCACTAGCTCAGGTGTCCACAGCTGTCTGAGTTATGCCTGTGGCTATGGGGGCCAAGGGGCCACGGCCCTCCCACTTTTGAAAGTGGACAGGCCTGGCACATCCACTTTTCTCCACAGGCCCAGGCCCCTGCCCCTCCTCTTCCCCCCCCCCCCCCCCGCAAAGGCTCCAATCCCCAGCCAGGCCAGAAGCTGGAGCCCGGCCCTGGAAAGAGCAGCCTGGGTAGCTGTGAGGAGCCATGGACCCTCCACCTGCCCAGGATGGGGGGACCCAAGAGCAGCCCCTGGCCCATGTCTCTCCCCCCGTGTCCTCTGCCCAGGGCAGATGGAAGGTCTGTGGCTCCCCACAGCTGCCCAGACGGCTCTTACCATGGCCTGGCTGCGGCTCTTTGGCCACTGAGGCCCCGCCCCCAGGCTGAGCTGGGTTGGGGTAAGAACTGCGCGGGCCACTCTGAGGAGCCACAGACCCTCCACCTGCCTTGGGTGGGTGACCTGGGGGGAGAGAACATGGGCCAGGGGCTGTTCTTGGACCTCGGGGGGAAGAAGAGGGGCAGGGGCGGGGGCAGGTCTCGTAGACCCCCCACTCTTAGGAAGAATCCATTGCCTCTGCCTGGCGCTGCTGTTCCCCATCCTCAAAACCAGTTCAGGTTAGAGAGGGTGAAAAGATGACTTTGTGGCACCTTCCTTCTGGCCTGTGAATTCTGTGTTTCACTTCTAAGAGATGCAGCAAAGAATCTCACCTGTGCTAAGTTTTTATTGTAGTTTCCTTTTGAGATATATATATATATATATATATGTTGAATTAAACTTTTAAAATCTAAAACCAAAACATATGCAAAACAGTATGAAGTATCTTTCCCCGCCCCTCCCTCCCCCCCCAAAACATGAATTCAGACTAGGTCATGAAATGTTTATTCTGCTTTAACTATCATGTTGTTTTCAGGCTAATGTTATGCATGTTGCTGCACTGTAATCAGTTTTTATGTAAACAGTGCATTGTCCCCAGAGTGAGTTTAGAGAAACATACACCCACAGTGTATCCACAGATAATTACAGTTTTAGAAACAGTGTTTAAAGCATTATACCCTGCTCACAGAACGTCAGCAAGATGTACTAAATAGCAGGGCAGAGAAGTGACTTGGTGTAGATTACTAGTTTCATTTTGTTGTTTTACAGGCCCTACATGTCCATTGGAACACTACGTGATCAAGTCATTTATCCGGACTCAGTGGAAGACATGCATGAAAAAGGATACCAAGACCAGGATCTGGAATGTATCCTGCACATTGTTCATCTGTATCACATAGTTCAAAGAGAAGGAGGTAAATACTGTATTTTAGTAAATAACTGAACATTTCGCAGGCATAGATTTTAGTGTAATATTATGAAAATATTGGGCCCAATTCTCCTTCTCACGCCTGTTTTAAAACATTGCAGCTCCATTGACTCCACAAGATGCAAGTGAGAGGAGAATTAAATTCATTGTCAACTATCAGTTATATCTCCTATATGGCTTTGATCAAAGCAGGCATGTTTTAAGTAGTATTTTCTACAAGCATCCCCAGACTGACCTAGTTAAAAGTAGCTAAACTACAGTGAGTGCCCTTAGAACCATCATGTTTACCATTTGCAGTATAAGTTACCATGGTATTGCCAGTATTCCTCATTCTAAGAATAGGGGACACTGTAAATACCTCAGCGCAGTAAATGTCAAGATATTAATGTCTCCTGTTGTATCTAGGGAGCTGGAGCACTGGTGTCAATGTGTTTTTTGTTCTGTTGTGTTTTCTTATAGATTATTTTCATAGTTCTGGTCCCACCAATCCCTCATTTGTAGTTTGAATTGACTGCCTTTGTAGTGTGCTTTAGTAACTGATTTGTGACAGAACTACTAGCATTTAAAAAAGCAGAAGGATACTCAGGAGGAGGCTGTAGGAGAGCAGGTTGTGCAGCGATAGTTGGTGCTCCTTTAGGGGGAGGTACTTTAGGTGCAGTAATTCATGCTCTCGGAGACCAACTGTATCATTCTCACAGCGTAGTTCATCCCCAGTGGCTCAGGCAGTAGGAAACTGAAGGCTAGTTTTGAATTCCAATTCCTGCCTGGGAGTCCATTACTCTGCTAAAAGACCAGGACATTGGTTTCTTTCTGAAAAACATATCGTATTGGTGACTTTCTGTGACACTGTGGAGTGTGGATAGTAATAGTTCCTGAGTGTAACATTAGTAATCACTTATGTCCATGTGTGTAATATTTTCCGTACTTATCCCATTTTTCCCAATCCACAATCCTGCACTCCTATTTTTACCTAGGTTAACATTTCCCACGTGAAGAATTTAATGATTGTGTGACCTACTGACCTAAAAGCCATGATGGTTCTGCCCTTTGGGTTTTTGGGACATTTTGGGACATTATCCTGGTTGGATAAATATGAGAAAATAAAATCAAAGTAAATCAAATTTACTTTCATCTCCATTCACATTCAACATTCACATCTGTTAATATAACACACAGCATGAAACATTTTACCAGAAGACAAAACCTGTTAGCCAGAGGTAGAAGAGTCAGAGGGCCCAACTAACTAAATTGAGAATTTAAAATTATAACTATATTAAGTCTCAATTTACGTTCTTTAATGGAAGGTGGGACCAAAAACAGAAGCAGTGAAAGCAGCTAAGCCGTGGCTGTTATGGGCAGCAGCAGAATGGACCCTGGGGATGAGGTGGGGAGGAAGTAATTTAAAAATAAACCCAAAACACAATAAATAAAGTCAGAGCTGAATATGAAGGATGGATCTATGTTTTTCCCCTGCTTTTTTTTATGTTATCTTTCCACTATGAACTCTCCTTCATAGTGGAAGGATATGTTAGACATTTTTTCCAAATTTAGAAATATTTTCTAAAAGAAAGACCTTTCATATCAAGCATCTGTGCTATAATAGCAATAAGCCATCGCATGGTGTATGTTCATGGGTGCCAACGCTTTCCTGAGGTCTGTGGAAAAAGAAACAAGGCCTCAACCATAGATGACTCATGCCTCCCAATATGCAGTGGGACACAAAGTAAAGGGGAGGACACGTGATCACCCCACAAGTCTCCTCTGCCCAGTGACCCCACACACATCCTGCCCAGCCCGGGGCTGCCACGTTCTCCCCACATTACCTGGCAGCTGGGCGGGGAGTGGGACAGAGCCACTTCTGCCTGAGAGAGCCTGGCTCTCCATCCGGGTCCTTCTGCCAGGGACAGGGACCGAGCGAGCTGGATCCCCCTCTTCCACGCACCATGCTCGGCCCCTGTCCCCAGCAGCCAAGTCCGGGCAGGGAACAGGCTGCCACTGCCTCCCAGCCCGGCTCTCTCAGATAGAAGTGGCTCCGTCCCGCTCCCCACCTAGTTCTGGCTGCCAGGGAGAGCAGCCAAACATGCCAGGGGGAGCAGAAGAGGGGGAGGCACAAGGAGATCAGAACAGAGCCTCTCTCCCTCCCTGCTCCCGGCAGGCCAATCTGGGGGGTACTTCACCCCTGCATGCTCCCCCCCCCCATGCATCATCTCTGCATGCGCCAGTATGAATTGCCTGCTGCTCTCTATCTGAACACATGCAGCTAATTAGAGAGACCAGTTGGGTGAGGTAATATCTTTTCTTGGACAAAGTTCCATTGGTGAGAGAGACAAGTTTTTGATCTACACAGAGCTCTTCTTCAGGTCTGGGAAGGTTACTTAGAGCCTCACAGCTAAATACAAGGTGGAACAGATTGTTTAGCATCGGTAGTTAGCACATATTCTAAGGCAGCGTTTCTCAAACTTGGGGCCCCGCTGATCAACTCTTCCCCCTCCCTCCCAGCACCTCCTGCACGCTAAAAGTCCGGCAGCACACAGGGCGAAGGCGTATCCCTCAGGACCCAGGGGTGAAAGGGGGTCTCCACGTGCTGTCCCCACCCTGAGTGCCAGCTCCACACCTCCCATTGGCTGGGAACTGCGGCCCATGGGAGCTGCGAGAGCCGTGCCTGTGGGCAGGGGCAGTGCACGGAGACCCTCCTGTCCCCCATGCCTAGGGATGAGAGAGGGATGTGCCGGTTGCTTTTGGGAGCCGGAGCCCTCACCCCCTCCCTGCCCCAGCCCAGAGCCTGCACCCTGCATCCAAACTCCCTCACAGAGCTCACACCCCTCACCCCCTCCTGCACCCCAATCTCCTGCCCCAGCCTGGTGAAAGTGGGGGGTGGGGGAGAGCAGGGGGCAGGGCCTTGGGGCAGGGCAAGGACTGAGTGGGGGTGCTTAAGGGTCCCTGAAAAAATTTAAATGACAATGGGAGCCCTCAGGTTGCTAAAGTTTGAGAACCACTGTTCTAAGGGACTATTCAAATGGAGTGGCCCATTAACACTTCTGCAGTCACAGGACCAAAAAAATGGGGGGAGGGCTAGTGGAGTTACAGATTGTTGTAATAAACCATAATAAAGTAGTAACAATGCTGCACCTAAAGAGCAGCCATTACCGATCGTGCCATATACTACCAAGTGGAAGACCCAGAATCAAGGTCTTGGTCTCTTGCTTCTGAGGCTGGGGGGCTTTCAGTCAGCCTTTCATCACTGCCCTCTATTCCTGCTCTCCTGCCTAACTTTCTATCCTCAGATTTGAACACACGCTTTATACAAATAATTCAAATGACAATATTATAATTAGTCTTATTGTAGGAGTACTCGGAGGCCCCAGACAGGGTCAGGACCTCGCTACACAAGGTGCTTCACAAACACATGGTAAGAAAAGTCCCTGTCCCAGAGAGTTTGCAATCTAAGCAGACAAAGGGACCAGGAGCGGGTTATAACATACCAGCAAAAAAGTCAGAGCCATGATAAACTCACAGCTTGTTTGTTCCATTTCCCCCTTTCCTTCCTCTCCACAAGACAAGCAACATACAAAGGGTGCAGGAGAAGGATGGCAATCAAAAAATATGTGTACTTTTATATGCATTACATACATTTTGCATATGTGCATGTTAATAGACATGATGTACCTTTTTTAAAAATACACATTACTTTACCCAACAGGCTCTCATGTAACCATTATTAGTTTAGCCAATTTCTAGCAACACCTGTGGAATATCTGCAAGCTATTTAAACAATTTACATGTTTTTATTATTCTTAAGAAAAGGAGCAAGATGTATATCTATAACAAACAGCATTTCTCATTGTTTGCTCTTGTCTTTCACATCCCACTCCCTTTGTTTCCCATCCCTTGCTGTATTATGTCTCTGTTAGGGCTGTGCCCTGAGGAGTTTACAGTTTGTCTGTATTTTAATCGTCTGTGATTGCTGGGTGCACATAATAAGGTGCTGTAAGGATTTGTGCTCCACTCCCTAGAGGTAGGGTTGAGAGCCAAATACAGCCTAGAGTAAGCAAGCCTGATTCTGATCTGATTTATACCAGAATAATCCCATTGTCTTCAGTAGACTTACTTCAGATTTACATCAGTATAAATATAATCAAAATCTGGCCCAGCGGGTGCAACTGCTGTGGAAGTCTCTGGACCATATTCAGTGGTGATGTAAGCTCGCAGCCTGCACCCTCTCCTGCACACAAACTCCCTCCCAGAGGCCAATTCCTATTCCCATTATAGCCAATAGCAGAAATTCCATTTTACTGCACCGGGACTAAGATTTGGCCTCAAATGAGTCAAAGTGGGTGTAAGAGAATGAAAAATAACTTGCCCAGATTTGGCATTTAATAGATGTACTATCCACATGTAACTTACTCTCTGTGGGGGCAGAAGCAGGATGCAACAGGAAACTCAACTAACCAGCGGGTGCAAGAAAAATCAGGTCTTTTCCACCCCAATAAATTAATTTATGCTGATTGAATCTGAACATTCCTAAACCCAAATTCAGCTCTGGTGCCAGCAGACAACTCCCAGTGTGAGGTGCATTCCCTTAGGCGAGGGGCTGAATTTGCTATCCATATCATTGTTCTCCACGCCAACTTGTCAGGCTCTGGGTTCTACATGGTCAGGCATGGTAGCTGGACGTGGGGTTAGGATTGGGCCACTTTGAAACCATGGCCCATGGACAGGCTGTGGGTCAGAACTAGGGTCAGAGTCCATGGACAAGCCAAATCAGGATCACAGTCAGAAAACGAGTTGATGCCAGATTGGAGTCAGTCCAAGGGTCTGGGGGTCAGGAGGCTAATGCAAACCTGGAGCGGGGTCAGGGCAAGGCATGAACCAGGCTAAAGTAGATTGGGATAAGGCTGGGGGTCAGGAACAGGAGCCAGATCAAGAGCAGGCTGGAAGCCTAGGAAATCTGTAGTACTTAGGGCCCTACCAAATTCATGGCCGAAT